TTTGGCAATGGGAAGGACTGAGTCCTTCTAATTTGTGTGCTCTAACTTAGCTCAGCATAGCTAGGTCAGAGAAAGGCTGTGGGAGCAGTGGATTTGAAGGGCAGAATCCTTCAGACTTCTGTGTTCTGACCTGGCTCAGTGTGGCTAGGATCAGAAAAGAGCTGCATAGGCAGTCAATAAGAAGGTCAGAGTCCTTCTAACTTGTCAGCTCCATTCCAGTTCCAGGTGGTTGGAGGTTGCAGGGAGAGTATGCTGCTAGGGTGGCTGGCAAGGAGGAAAGAGATTTGGGAAGGTGAGGACTGAATCCACTTCCAGGTGAGAATTGGATTCATGCTGATCCTTAACCACACAAGGTGGAATCTTCTTACCTTGCCCATTTATTAGTGCAAATAGTTTTCAGGGGGTTGTTTTCATTTTATATTTTGTTTTATATGCTTGCAGGACCAGAACTTTTGATCCAACATGTTCTTATGAAAATTTTCAAACTGAAAGAATTTTACGGTGTATTTTACCATGAATACTGATACACCTACCACCTAGAGTCTACTGTTGCCAGGTGGAAACCCAAGGTTCTGCTCAGCGTGACTTGTTACAGCCAATAAACAAGAGGCCGAGGTAAAAGAAAGACGCCTTTATTTCACTGCGAAAGGAAAGGAGCAACCGGGGCTGCTGGCTCCAAGACTGCTTGCAGGCAGCTTGGGGAAGTGGGCTTTTACACAAAGAAGACAAGGAAATGCAAATTCATCATGAATATTCAGGTTGACCTGGATGCAGGCTCTCAGGGCTTGGGGATGACTATGCATTTTTTCTAGACAAGGGTTTGATCCCCCAGGACGGAGGAAGAAGTCGGTTTTCCTTTACTAGCATGTTAAATCTCCACCCAGAGGTAGAGTAAGGCCATCTATGAGCTGTTCTGTGGCTATATTGTCAAGACAATTTTAGAAGAATGTGCAGCTTATTCTGCTCTGTGTAGGAGAATAAGCCAGAGCAGGTGTTTCTTAGAAGGGTTGGGCTCTGAGGTTGTCTGCCTCACTGCCATTAACATTCTCCTGCATTTGCTTTTTATCATAGATTTATCCAGCTGTCTGTCCCTCCCTCCATCCATCAATCCATCATTTTTAATGCATTTCAAAGTAAATTGCAGATACCTGTAACTTCCCTCTTTCAGAATCCATATCATTAACTAGAGTACAATATTTGTCTAACAAAGTATTTTCTTTTGATGTAAAACATACATACAGTACAGTGACAAAATGCACAAATCTTATGTGAATATTCTGTGTAGACAAATACGTACACCTGTGTAACCCAAACCTCCATCAACATAAAGTAGATAGTCATCATTCCAGAAAGTTCTCTCCCAATTTCCACCCCCACTATCCCCAGAGGCAACCACTGTTAATAACTTTTGTTTCCCTGTAGATTACTTTTGCCTGTTCTACAACTTCATATGAAAGGAATCATATAGTACGTACTCTTTGTGTAAGGTTTCTGTCATTCAGCATAATGTTTTAAAAACTCACCTATGTTGTATATAACATAACTTGATCCTTTTTTGTGCTGGGTAGTATTGTTTATCCATTCTCCTATAGATGGATACCTGGACTATTTCCAGTTTTTGACTATTATGAATAAAGCAGCTATAAACATTACAAGTAATTTTGTGCACATATGTTTTCATTTCTCTTGGGTAAACACATAAGATTGAGATGGCTGGGTCATTAGGTAAAGATATATTTAGGGTTTTGCTTTGTTTTGTTTTTAAAAAACTGCTAGAATGTTTCTTAAGAAAACAAAGTGGCTGTACCATGTTATTCTCTCACCAACAACGTATGAGAATCCCTGTTGCTCCACATCCTTGACACTATTTGGTGTTGTCAGTCTTTTTAATGAGACCAAAACTTTTACATATCTGGATATGGGCATTAGAAAATGGGAGGGGACGTACCGTCGCTTAACTCTGTATTTGTGGGACACTATAGGCGATCTAATCTAATTTTAGTCCTCACAACAACCTGTGACATCACTATCATCCCGTTTAGAGGCTAGGAGAAATAAAGTAACCGTAGAACTAGGATTCAAACACAGGTTTTTCTGGCTCCATTTTTTTTTTTTTTTTCATTCTTTTTTTTTCCCCCACACTGACTGGGACTAGTGAAATAAGAGGCTGTTGAGAAGGAAGACTCCCGTGCAATGAAGTGTTGTCAACCTTTTTCCATTGATTACAGCCCTACTGGAAGCTCGGGAGATTTTGGTTCATGGTAGAGTATGGTTTTTCTGTCCTTGAGAGCTTGGATGACTTGGGATGGGGAATTGTGAGGAAGAAAAGAAATCGTCTTCCAAGACCTGCTTCCATCTACCTGCTTGAGGTCCAAGGAATTCAGTCTTTCAGTCTCCTAAAGTGCCTGAAGGTGAAATGAGGGGCCTAAGAAGACCTTTAATAGGTTTATATGCTGCCCTAGGCCTCTGAGAGAAGGTAACGCTGGGACTGAATGGTACTGATTGCAACTAAAACTCCAATTATAGGTCGCCATGAATCAGAATCTACTCGAAGGCAACTGGTTTGATTTGGTTTGGGCTTAAATGATGTCCCCAAAATAGCCTGTACCATGGTCTGACCCAAGGAAACATTCTGTCCCTAGGAGTAACTAGGAGTCCCTAGTGGAGCAAACAGTTGTCAGTTCCAACCCACCCAAAGGCGCTTCAAAAGACAGGTCTGGTGATTTACTTCTGAAAGGTCATAGCCTTGAAAACTCTATGGAGCAGTTCTACTCTGCACACATGAGGTTATGAGTTGGGATTGACTCACTGGCAACTGGCAACAACAACAGGAAGCAACTGTTAGGAAATCAAATACCACTTCTCTGAAACCAACTGAGATAAGGAATACAATCAATCCTGTTCCAATCTATTCCTAACTGCAAAGGCAATACAGTAGTTCTTCCTCTGACCCCAACCACCTGGAGCTGGGACAGACCTCATAAGTTAAAGGGCACAGTCCTCTAGACTGCCAAGTCTTCAGATGCCAGCCTCAAGCTTGGGAGTCCCCGGGCCCCCTCACTTCTGATCTGCTGGCCTCCACTACTCCCTCAGGTTTGATAATTTGCAAGAATGACTACAGAACTCAGGAAAGTGCTATACTTACTATTAATCCATTGCCATCCAGTCGATACCCTATAGACAGAGTAGAACCACCCCATAGGGTTTACAAGGAGCAGCTAGTGGATTCAAACTGGAGACCTTTTGGTTAACAGCTGAGCTCTTATCACTGCACCACCAGGGCTCCTACTTACTATTACACTTTTATTACAGCAAAGAAAAAAAAAACACATGCAAATGAAGAGAGAACGCTAAGGCAAGGTCTAGGAGAGTTCCCAATGCAGAGCTTCCATGAAGAAAGTGTGCCAGTGGGACCCTGTGGTACTTTTCCAGGTTACCTATTTTCATTTTAACAACAGTTTCCTGAGGACAAAATACCTTGACCCAAAAAACAAGTTACTCTTCGTTACATCCTAAAGTCCTGTCACAGACTCTCTGGCCCCGTAGCCCTGATGAGAGAGGCATGCTTTATGTGGCAACTCCTGTTGTCTAATGAAGCAGGAAAGAGGCAAGGGCTTCAGATTCACTCAGTCTAGAACTTATCTGAGTCCCTTTTTCTTCGTCCGTATAATAGAGAAATACTTCCTATATGATAGCGTTGTTGAAAATTTTCTTAAAAAGATAACAAGAGTCTATTACATAATACCGAAAACCAAACTCATTGCTGTTCGAATTGCTTCTAACTCATGGTGACCCCATGTGTGTCACAGTAAAACTGGGCTCCATAGGGTTTTCAATGGCTGATTGTTCAGAAGTAGATTGCCAGGCCTTTCTTCCAAAGCACCTCTGTGTGGACTCAAACCTCCAACTTTTTGGTTAGTAGTCAAGTCATTAACCATTTACACCACCCAGACAGTCCATCAGGAGTCACCCTATGGGTAAGAATACTGGGAGAAAGAACTGACCAATACCAAAATCAGACTCCATTGGCAGCTATTAAAGAACTCACTGAATATCAACAGAAAACATTAATTAAAACTCATTCAACCAAGTAATCTAATTCCCTTGGATTTGGAAGCTGTCAGAGGGATGTCTGTGGAACCCAGATATAGAAGAGTTTGTAAAATAAGGGGAAAATAACCAGACATTCTTCAAAAAAGTGACCTCTTGGCAGAAAAAGAAAAAGAATTGTTTCTACTCCATCAGCCTCTCCAAGTCACTCACCCAAATAAACTCTAAGTAAAAGCAATGTGCTTGCTGTGCATGCACGGCTTCAAGACAGGTCTTCTGGCACCCCTCTTCTAACCAGATTTTGACCCCTAAATTCACCCTCCTCTATAGAAATTCTGATGCAACTCGATGGTAATAGCTATCCCTTTCATTATTACATTGCTGGAGTATCCTATAGATATATTCTCAAGATATTAACGCTAAAGGCTAACGTTAAAAGGCTATTCTGTGAGCTCCTGGAGGCTGGCTGTCTTTATATCCTCAACCCTGGCAGTAGTTTTTGGATGGTTTCTGAATGAATGAAAAGAAGCGACGGCGAGTCCTTCCTCTCAATGCAGTGATTCAGCTGGCTTTGAATACAGCCGCGTTTAGGCAGCAGTGAGCCGGGGGAATTTCTCTATGCTGGGTGGAGGCCCTTAGAACCACCTTCCACTACCAGACCTAGGGAGTCCTTCTTTACGCGTTCCACAGGACCGAGTCCCGCAGGTTTCCTCCAGCCCTACGGCAAGAGCTGGCTGGCAGGAAGCCTTGGTCGGAGCCGCCATCTCCGGAGGCTGGCGTGGGGGTTGGGATGCCCCTTTCTCCCGGCTGTCGACCCCAGCGACGCGGCCGCTCGCCAGACGTAAGCGAACTCGGATCCGCAGAGGCGGAGACTGGGAGATCCGGTCGCGAATCCCTTTCCGGGCGTCTGGACCCCGCAGCGGTCACGTGGGGAGAGTCAGCCGAGCGGGGTGGGGCCGGGGTGGGGCCGGGCCGGGAGAAATAGGCTCACCGGGCTGTCTCCGGGAGGCGACGGCAGCGGCATCGGGAGCCACACGAAGCGCGCTTGTCGGCTGTAGGCTTGGGCTCTCGGCAGTGGAATTTGGTGGGTACAGGCGGGCGGTTCTGGGCTGGCGGCGCTGCACCTCGGCGAGCCGGGGTGCATCTGGGTGCTCGCGGGCCGTGGCGGAAGTGACTCCGGGAGGGGGATGGGAACGCCTGGCGGGGCCGCACCGAGATGGAGGTGACCCGGCTGCGCCGCCGCCGCAGGTCCTCACGCCAGGCCCAGGAGCCATCCGGCTGTGTCCCTGGGGATTGGCAGAGTGAGTGGTGGGAGGCCCCGTGCACTCCTAAAAGTTGCCGTAGTGAGAAAAGCAAAAACAAAGCGGGCAGCCAGACATCTCCCCACCTCCGGCCGGAACCTCCCGCTCGCCGGCCGCCTGCCCCCCCGGGTTGTGTTCCGGTGAACCCTCCGGTCGCGTCCGCCCAGCGACCCCACGATCTGCCCATATCCAGAGCTGGGTCCCAGAGGCCGCTACAGGCCGAGTTGGGGAGTTTGCAGGGGAACTCCGAGGGAGGATCCTGCTAGGAGGAGTATTGGCCGTATCCCGGTGACTTTTGGCCCGAATCTGGCTCCTTACCCCAGCCCCTTGCCAGTCGTGTGACCTTGGACAGCTTGCTTTTGAGCCTGTTTCCTCAGATCACATAGCTGAGATAATAGTATCGACCTAAATGTTTTAGTGCAACTTTCGGCACACAATCCCACACAATTCTAGGGACCCCAGAAGACAGGGCCTATTAAAAACCAGAACCTAAAACTGCGTGGAGTAGGACGGAACCCAAATGAATTAAATCTGTTGACAGTAGAGGAGAAGCTAAGCAGAGTGGAAGGATAGGAGACCATGTTGTTGTGTGCTCTCCAGTGGATTCCGACTCATAGTGATCCCTTGTGACAGAGTAGAACTGCCCCATAGGGTTTCATAGGCTGTAGTCTTTTAAGGGAGCAAATCACCAGCTCTTTCTCCTGTGGAGAAAGCCGAGTTCTTAACCATTGTGCACCAGGGCTTCTTGGAGTCTCTGTAGGGGCATGGAAACCTCAGACCCCTCTCTCCCTGGGAACATAGGAGGGAGAAGAAAAATGCTACTCCCTACTCTTGGACTCCAGTGGAAGGAGGACAGTGCCTCCAGGCCCAGGTAGTATGGGAGAATGAGGAGGGCTTCGTCCCTCAGTTAATGGCCCTGGAGGTCTGAGAGAAGGAGTATCTAGAGAGCAGTAAGGGGGTGAGTGATTTGGGGGTTCTTCAGGCAGGCTGAGGTGGACAGATAGACCCAGTGGATGTGAATTGGACTTTGCTTCTTAGTGGGCTAAGCTCAATGCCTTCCCCAGGCACTAGGAAGGTCAAAAGACTGGCACTGGGAAAAGGACTATAGCCCAGGCCCCACATCCCTCCAGCTGACCTGGTGGAGATCTCCACATCCACTGGGAAGGGAGGTTGTGGGGTTCAAAGGAAGACCTAGCATCTTCTGATCCCCAAGTGCCCACCACTAGATGAGAATGCAGCTGAAATGCATCCTATATTCTATAGGACTTCATCTAGGTGAATCAGTAGATTCAGAAAGATAAGATGAAGAAGCCTAGAAGGGTTCCTGGTTTGGTAAAGGACACTTTCTTTTTCTTCATAACTTCATTTCATTTCATGGGTAATTGTTTCCTATTGGTACTGGTGATGATGACCTAGGGCCCTTGAGGCTTGGGGAGAAAGGGGCTGGATTGCCCACTCTGTGTTGCTTTTTCCCAAAGAGAGAGTTTGAGGCATCCTAGAGAAAAGTGATTTCCACCCTAACCTTTCTGGACACTTGTTCTAGAGCTCGGGCACTGCTGGGTGGAAAGGTGCAGATCCCACATCTTGGTGCTTCACAGGCCCAGTGGAGGTAACACAGGGCAGACACAGCCCTGACTCCCCTAGATGTTCTGTTAGGACAACCCAGTTTTCAAACTGGTCATGTGGTAAAGAGTGAAAGCCCTTTGGCTCCAGGAATGAAACTGCCTATCTGGTGCTGATTCAGCAGCTTGGGCAGAGGCCAAGCCCTTTTTTTCCTTCTAGACAAGTTCTTTTTTCCCTTCCCCAACTGCTGGACCTATGAGTTGGAATAGGAAGTTAAATGCACATTTTAGGGGTGAAGGATTTTTGTATTACTGTTGGCAGTTGGATTGAGAAGTGGAAGGGAGACCAAGTTTCATGGGAGCCTGGATCCTTAAATGACAATAAGTATCCTGTGTTGTAGAAGGTTGGAAGTTCCTTCCTGGTCAAATAAGTAGGGGCTCCCTTTGTCTTTCTGGAGACCCTGGGTGGTGCAAATGGTTAACACCTTTGGATACTAACCAAAAGGTTGGAAGTTCGAGTCCTCCCAGAGGTGCCTCGGAAGAAAGACCTGGTGATCTACTCTGAAAAAATCAGTCCTTGAATACCCTATGGAGCACAGTTCTACTCTGATACACATGGGTCACTGAGTCGAAATCGACTCAATGACAGCTGGACTAGTTTTTGTCTTTTGAAGTTATGAAATCTTCAGGACATCACTAGAGCCTCCTATAAAACGGGTTAATCAGGGAGATGCAGAGCCCTTGCAGCTCAGCCTTTCTGGGCTTAGGGTAGTGGTGGAAAGGGAAAAACATCTTTTCTCTTTGCAAGTAGAATATGTATGTGCACAGTCTCACCTCATTTTTAAGAAACAAAAGAGATTTTCAGCCAAGATTTTGCATACAGTCAGAACCATCAACTGATTGCCAGAGGCTGCCTTGACCCCATTTCCTAGATGGAAAGTATGGCACCAACTCATGGTTGGTGAACCTGAGTCAGAGAAGGAATAATGTCTGTTCTTTGAAAACTTTTACTAGGAAGGTTTCTGCTTTGCAGTGCTGGATATGCATTTAGAAACTATACATTCATCGTAGATGGTGTTTGTAAATCATAGAGCTGGAAGACAAAGGAGAAGGGGAGGTACGAGGTGAATGACAAAGTTAGGAAATAAGTAAGTATATATCCCCCACCCCAGCTTTGTCCACTGAAAGGGTCTAGAACCAGTGTTGCTCCAGTAGCAACAGGCAGACCTATCACCTTGATTTTGATTTCTGAATGCCACTTCTCACTAAAATTAGAGCTCCTTGAAGAAATGGCTGATTCCAGGTCTGGGGCAGGGAAAGTATTTAAGTATGCCTGGAACATATTGCACCACAAAGCAAGGAAATCCTTGAAGGCTAATAGAGTCATGTCTAAAGGATACAGAAGCCAGCTTGGAGTACCTTCTGCCAGCCAAACATGCTACACAGGCAATCAAGAAGAGTAATGACAGTAGTGGATTATAACACATTGACTTTTTAAAATGAGTTCATAGTGATACAAAGAAACAGAAAGGAGGAGACTAGAGGAAAGCTCTTTTCATAGAATAATGCCAGCTAATTGATGTAGAAAAAAATGATAGAATTATAAATTGACCATTTTGCCAGCTCCACTGTGCTAATTAATACATGATGATATCATGAAGGGTGTTCAGTCATCCTTGGATCATCAATGGTGCTAAAACCATTGGGTGAAAGGATTTGGTGAAGAGGATAGTCACGTGGTATCAAACTGAAGTATTACCCCGTAGATTACTTACAAATTACAAAAAGGAAAAAAATTACAAACAGTAATGAAGTGAGCTGTCAGTCGTCATCTTAAACGAGAGGTCAAGCTTGGCATCAAGTCCTGACATTGTATGCCTTTTGATGAGGTGCAGTGAATTTACATACCACCACCTGTGGATTGGTCTTGCCAAAATGTTTGACCCGACTGTAGTCATGAGGATATAGTTAGATTAATCCACGGTGTAGAACATTCTGCAGGAAAACTAGCCCGGACCTTTGAAAGGATTCAGTGTCATAAAGATTGGAGGGAACAGGGGCAAGAGTGGTATAGAATGGGGAAGATAAAGAGATAGAACAATCAAATGCAGTATGTGAGCCTTGATTGGATCCTGGATAGGGAGGGGTAAGTCAGTATTCTTAACATTGATATGCATAAGAATGGGAGGGGGATCTGTATTTTAACATAAAGTACAGGTTCTGATGCAGTAGGTCTGGGATGGGGCCTGAGATTCTACATTTCTAACAAGCTCCCAGGAAATACAGCCTGCAGCCACATTTTTAATCGAAAAGCTACAGAGGACACTGTGGGATAACTGGAAATTTAAGTATCTGTTGTATGATTGTCTTAAGTGTCATTAATGAAGTTGTGGTTGTGTAGAATATCCCTTGTTCTTGGGAGATATTATATAATGGACTGAAATATTTAGAGGTGAGGAGTCACAATGTCTGCCACCTGTTTTTGAGAGTTTGGCACAAGAACAGTATTAGAAATATACAAGGTTGAACTGTATGAAATTGGAATTTTTGTAGGTCATCCTCTCTCTTGGTTTATGCCCTCTTTTTGCAGACATGTGCACTCCATGAGCCCAGGGCATGGGAGGTAACTCTTGAGTCCTTGCATAACTGTTACCCACCCTACTTTGGATGGAGTAGAAGATCTAGGAATCAAACTCTATTATATATTTAGACTTCTAAGCAGTCGTCCTGTGTTTAGCCTCACATCTCATCCCCACCTTCCACATCTCCAGGTGCCTCCAAGTCTCAGACTTGTCTGGAGTTTGCAGGGTGATTTGGCCCACTCTTCATGGTGGCGCCCCTCTGCAGGCATCAGGTTTCACTTCCTCTGCTCTGCTACCTCAGGTACAACTCTTGTGCCTGCTTTCTGTCTTCCTGAGGGGCACTGGTGTCTCCTGTCTGCTCCTCTTCACTTTGTAATTCTCGTGTATAGTTTTATACTTTTATTACTTTGTATCAACCCAGAGACAATCTTATTTAATATATTGATATTTAAATGTTTAAGAAATTATGTAACTTGTGTCATACTGCAGTTATCCTTCTTCACTTGCATTTTTGAACTTTATATTAATACGTAGAGTTCACTTACCTTGCATGTACAATGTGTTTATACACTGAGGGACAGTTAGGTGTCTTCTGCTTTTTCTCTACTTCTCACAGTGCTGCAGTAAATATCCTTGTAT